GACGTCACAATTTTTTATGGCGACAGATATTCTCAAAAATCGGCATCACGTCGATTGTTGCAACGACAAAAAAACGACATCCTTAATACCGTTATTATAGTCTCGACTTCATTTTGCGACGACGACGACAACAGTAATAATTTCCAAATCATTTCCGAGGACCCAAATCTGCGAAAAAATTAACTTTTTAAGAAATTTTAACGTAATTAAAATTAGATTAAAAGTAAGAAGAAATAGAATATTTTAAATTACGTTTAAATTAAATTACATTTAAAAATTAATTACGATAAGGCATTTTTTGAAATTTTTAACGCAACCTCACTGGAATTATGTTAAACAATTTGTCAGTATCCCCAAATAATGCAATCCGACACTATTTTCCCAATCCTGTGCCATCTCAAACAGTCAACGCCTCCATGTGTCCAGGTAAATGTACATCTTCCTTTCCAATTTATATCCCCTTTCATGAATGTGTTTTTTTTTCTTTTTTGGGTTTTTCAAAATCTATATTTAATTTTAATGGTAAAAATTAAGGATACTCACTATTCCGTTCCTATGTTACGTGGATAATGTATTTTTTAGGGAGTTTCGATTTTGTATGCCTTGTTCGGTCGTTCGTTCGTTAAATAAATAAATATGTATGTTTGTATGTATTTTTTATTTGGTTTGCATATACGCGGAACACCTCGTTGACCAGTCTTGTAAATTGTTGCTTTTGTTATAACTTTTGTCTCTGATTTCTTTTGTTAGAGTGGAAATGGAGTGTGGAGAGTGGGGAGGGGGTGTGTGTGTTAGGAATGCGAAGAGTTGTGTGGGACCTGGATGTGTGTTTGGGGGGTGATGTACAACTTGTATGTCTCTCAATATTATGTTCAGGCTATGTAATAATTATAATAACGATGATAATGATGATGATGACGATGATGATGTGATTGATGACAGCTTGAGAATAATACATAATGTTAATGCTTGCTATGATGATAACGTTAATAAAGTGGGAAATATCGGAATGCAAATGCGAATAAATTTGTTAATTAAAGAGCTTTGTTTTGTTTAGGTTTTTCGTTTTTGGTTTTTTCTTGTTCTTTCTTTTTTGTATAGACTTTGTGTATATTTTTACAAAATATGATTATTTTGGATATCTTAGTCGATTTTCGTTTTCTTAAAGAGATTGATTTATTTGACACATCGTATAGAAGATTTTAGGTTGGGAGCCCAAAATCATAATTATTGATATCAGTTTTTTTTTAATTCTTATTAATTTTGTATGATTTTTACGCTAGTTGTTTGTTTTAGGGTGTTAACAATTCTGGAAGTGGTTTTACGTTCAAATGGGCCAAATAATATTCGTATGCAAAATTCACATTCTTTCCGCATTGGAAGCAAACTAATTTAGACTGGAAGTAGTTGGGGAATAACGATTTGATATTCGTTCGTAACTCTCACTGGCCAACGACTGTCAATGGCCATTTCGTACCAATTGCAGACGACATTTTAAATGCCAAAATACATGAATTAAAGAAAAAATAATGTTAAGCACACAAAGAAAGGACAAATATATTTATTTCGTTTTTTTTTTTTGTTTTCTTTTTTTTTGGGTAGACATTAATAAGCATTTTAAAGTCGGGGTATGTTTTTTTTTCTTCTAATTTTTGTTAATCGTAATAGTCTTTCTTCTTTTTTTCTTTTTGTCAAACATTTAATGTAGATTTCATTTTGGGTTTTACAAAATAATTTCTATACATAAAAAATACATTTTAGCTAAATTTGATTTGGCTTCAAAGGAGTTTTGTGCCAAAATTGGTTATTGGATATTTGTTTTTGTAAACTACGCATAGCTAAAGATAGTGATTTTAGTTTTGAATTGATAATGATTTCTTAAACGAAAAAAGAAAACTTGGCCTAAAATCATAAAGTCGTGCTAAAAATGAAATGAAAAATGAATATTTTTGCTAAACAATTTTACAAATATTAATTCTCAAATTACATTATTTATTAATTAATTAAATTTTTGTATTTGGTTTTAGTTTTGCTTCGTATTATACATATTTTTACTCAAATGCTGGATCACAGAATTTTATCTTATGTTTTTTTTAATATTTTCTTGTTTTTTCTTTTTTGATCACACATCACTCACGTTGTGATGATTTGTGGTTTGAAATAAAGAAGGAATTAAAAAAATGTATGACTGTGTGTGTGTGTGTGTGTGAGCAAACTGCAATGTAACATACGTATATTTCAAGATGTGTAGTTGCAAAAAAGCAAACTTGTAAGGAAATGTTTTACCTGCATTAATTAAATTTAGTAGCATAAAATGGAAATAATAGGACTGAAATGAAAAATTTGTAGAAGTGTTCGTTTTATCGAAATCTGAAGAAAAATTGTATCACTCGGTTTCGTCGACAGATGTACTCCCTCAGGCTATGTCAGTTTATGAACATATATTTAGACTTGCGTTATGATTATTCAAAATGTTGGCGCTTTATGAAGATACTACTAATTCAAAATTTTGACCATTGGTAAGAGATCTACTAGAAAGGGTGGGTCGATATTTTCCTTTAGGATTTGCAAAATTTAAACAAAATCGGATGATCCTTTATTTCTCTGCGAGAAAAATTATTTTCTTTGAAATTGTTGGCCTTTGTAGGGTGGTACCGAAATGAGTGGACCGATATTGCCCATCTCCGAGCTCGATTTAAGTTTGATAATATTACGATGTACCAAGTTTAGATTAAATCGGATACTCAATTTGAGAGTTGTCACGTGCAGCAGCCAGGCAGACAGCCGAATGGACAAATTTGGACATTTAGTCCCAAGAGAAATAGGGTCTACACCCGTAATTACTATGAGGCAAATGATATATAACCTCAGTATCATTGTGGAATTTAAAAGAAATCTTATGAGCATGTTAAAATTATGAGAAGATAGCAGGAAGATTCCACCTATTTGACTCTGTTGCCACATCCTTTTTTAGGGATATAAAGGGTGAGATGAAAAAACTGCAACCAACTTCAGATTTCACTCGTCGGACAGCTGTTAAAATTATTCCAGTGACAGCTTATTATAATGTTTACAAGTGTACGAAAGCATTTCTGTGAGAATTTTCCAGAAAAAATGTTATTCGTGATGGAATTCAAGCGTGATAGTGTGACTTCTTTATATTTGGCTGGAAAACCACATGTGTCTCTCGCTAGAGCACTCCATCATTTAAATGTGAATAAATCGTTTGTGTCTCGTACCATCGCTTGTTACCGTGATACTGCTAGCGTAGCCCGACGTCGAAATGGTTCGAAAAGTAAACAAGCGACTTGATCGAAACCCGCGTCGCAGTGCCGAAAAATGGCTCGTGAGCTGAACATATCGCAATATTTCATTCGGCGAATATTGAAAAATGAGGTCGGGGTAAGGCCATTGAAATTCCAAAAAGTGCAAGAACTTACACCGCAACAGCAAGAAAATAGATTCAAAAGAGCTAAAGAGTTGCTTCGCTTGGGCGAATTCGGGTTTCCCTGATGAGAAAACATTCGTTGTCCAGCAGTTTGTAAATAAACAAAATGATCGTGTTTACTTGCCAAAGAGATCAGCTAAAAATGTGTACCTTCGGTTGGTCACCAGAACTCAAGCGCCGGCCATGGTGATGGTGTGAGCTGCCATAACAGCCGATGGTCGCTCTCCGTGCGTATTAATCGACCGTGGCACCAGAATAAGTGCCGAATATTATCGCGAAAAGAGGGTAAAAAAATGGCGAATATTATCGCGAAAATATTCTGGAGGGTGTATTAAAGCCTTGGGCATGCAAACATTTTGGCCGCAGTCCTTGGACATTCCAACAGGACTCAGCAACATCGCACTCAGCACGCGCCACCCAAGAATGGTTAAAAAACGATGTTCCTCGCTTCATTTCCAGCGCACAATGGCCACCAAAATGTCCGAAGACCAATCCACTGGACTATTGTATCTGGGGTATTTTGGAAAGCAAGGTTGACACTAAAAAATACCAGAGTGTCGATCACCTTAAGCAAGCGCTTCGTCGGAAATGAGCCAAAATACCGCAGCGTGTGATTGTTTCATTGGCCGTTGGAAGGCCATAATTCGTTCCAAAAGTGACCAATTCCAACAAATTTAAACTTATTCTAAAATTTGATGCTATTTCCGACATTTTTTGTTTTTATTCAATTTGTTGCATTTTTTTGGTAGCATTGTGAAATTTGTATGAGCTTGTTACAATTTTCAGAAGATAGCACTAAATTCCAACTTATTTGACTGTTGCGACGTCTTTTTATAAGGATATAATTTTTTAATATAAAATTTCTCAGCGCCATGTCAATTGCTGTTGCGGAAAATTGTTTCATGTGTTCTAAAGTTGCATTTAGTGGAACTAATGATATAGTAAAACATGACATCGTAGAGATTCCTTGAAATCTTGCAAGAATTGAAATACATATACTATAGCTTCAGAAGAAAGATATGAAAGCATTTCAATTAAATATAATTGTAATTATTTCAACACAAAAATCGAAAAAATTTCAAAATCTAATTTATGCAAGTCCGAATGTAAGGCTATATGGAAAATATAGGGAAGTGATAAGGTAGATATATCGATTTGTAGGGTCTGAGACAAAACGTAGAAACATGATTGGGAAAAAGATAGTTAGATATGAAAACTTGAAAGATATGAAACGGTAAAAAATTGACGTGTGAGCAAAAATTAGAAACAACTTAGATTTTTCATTTTCAAATATCTTCCCGCACGCAAAAAAGCGACTTAGACTTTCAGACTTTTCAAAACAAAATAATCGATTATTTAAAAACCGATTTATGAATCAATAGCGAGCCACTGTGTGCCATTTGGTATTGTTAAATCAATGCCTCATCAGGCATTATTCACCTGTGAATTAATACTTCCATACTAAAATTTAACGTTCCCCGTTTCAATTCCCCACCCTGATTCCGAAATTAATTTCTTTTCAGAAAATAAAAATGTAGATAAACACAATATATGATTTTGTACGTTTTTATTAAAGCATTTATTTAAAAAAGTAATAATACAATTACAAAAAAATAAAAATTATAAAATGTATGCAACTAAACAAATTATAAATTTTTCGATTTAATCCAAAGAAATAATAAAAAAAAATAGACTTAATGATTTAGGGGGAAATATAGTACTTCCAGAGCAGAATACAAATCAGAATGACTGAAAAAGAACATCGCTGTTAAGGGAATTCCACAAGATCAAATTGAGAAAATAATAATAAAAATCATATGAAATAAAACAAAGAGGGATACTACAATACTTTCAATTGCTAATGACGAGTGTGTGTGTGCGTGTGATTTCATAGGGTTTAAAATAATAAAAGTAATAAAATAAAATAATGATTAATTTTAAAAATAAATTTAGAAATTAATTTTAAATTTTGAGTAAAGATTTTTGACTAAAGATTAAAACAAGCATCTTTGTTGTTGCTGTTTTGTTTTGTTTTTTCGATGAATTAATCGAGAGTGAGTGTGATGATGATCTAGTTTTACACAACCACTTTTTGTAATCGATTTTATTTGTTTGTGTTTTTTTTTTGTTTGTTTTCCTAAACATATCAATCTCGTTTAACTCTTAAAGGGGATGGGGGCGGGGAGGAGGGAGGGTAGAGTCGCGTGCGATAATACTTGCAAATTTAATAGAACAAAAAGACAAGGAATTTAGATAGACATCGAAAATTGTCACATTTTTTCTTTATCGGTAAACCAAAAGTTAAGTAAAAGAAAGAAATTATTGTTAACGTAGAGTGGGAGGGGTGGGGGCTGTTTGCTTTTGACAAATAATTTTAAATTTTATCAACAACTCAATAAATTATATGTGAATGTATGCATATGCATGCATTCGTATGTGTGTGTGTGTTTGTCTCTGTGTGAGTGTATTCTTGATCTTAGAAACTATTTAATATTAGTCATGTATGTATGTTTTTATGTATGTATAATATCTATTATGTATATCGATAACACAAATGTTTGAAACATTCTCGATTATTTGCACTTGAACATTTTTAATATAAAAATAAACAAATTTAAAAAAGTAATACAATTTTTGTTTGTTCTTCTTAGGAATACAATAATAAAAAAATCGTGTTGTTTTCATTTACTTTTCAGAATCGTGTTTTTTTTTTGTTTTTGTATTTTTGGCAGTGTTTAGCATTTACACCATTTTTTTTTTAATTTTCATTCTTTGTAAAAAATACAAAATTTTGACAAAATTACAATAATAATAATAATAATAAAAAACAATTAGACTAAAGCGTTTAATAATAATAGAGTGTGTATGTGTGTGTGTGTGTTTCTTTATGTGTTATGTGTAAAAACGTAAAATTATTAATTGCTTTACTTTGGTAAAAAGAATTTGATTTGTTCTGTGTTCTAACATAACAATTGTTGTCGTTCTCCGAGAAAACTTTATGTTTACATTTCATCTTTTTTAACTTTAACGAGTGAAAAAACAGTGGCACAGTGGGCTCCCATTGGAAACAGACTCACTTGGAATGACAGAAAGTGAAAGTGAATGAATACAGAATTTGTGCCCACTGTGCCATTATGTTTCGTTCTTTCTTTCTATTCTTCTGGCAAAGTTCTTTGATTTTCGATTAACTTTGCTCTTGAAAATCATTTGATTCAGTTTGCTTTCTAAGAGTTTTCATCGATACAATGAGAGTATGTTGCTGATGCTGCTGCTACGGCTGCGGCTGATGATGATGGCACATGTAATGCTTAAATTAATTTGCTTTTTTTTGTTTTGTTTTTCTTACAAAGGTTGTTCTCTCCTCCGATGGGGGGTTAGGGTGCATTGTAGGATCTTGATTTGTACACCAGTTGATTTCTTCTTTGCTTTTGATACTTACATTTTGTAGGCAGTTTCTACAACGAGTCTGCCTGCCAGTACTTTATATGTATGTATGTATGTATATTTAGTTCTTAATGTAATTCTTATAACGTAACAGTTTTATTAATTTCCAGGAATTTTGCACTGCTTTCATTTATGGTTTGTTGTTGCTGTTGTTGACAGACGACCGTCGGTCATTTTTCTCCTGTTGGTGAGTGGGGCGTGGGTGGTGAAAGCGAGGCTGGAAGAGTTGTCACTTTTGTCGGGGTGACGACGGCGTCACTGTCTGCCGGCACAGTCTACATGTGACGTTTCATGTGCAACGCCAAATGATCGGAACGTGAAAAACAGCGATCGCAATTGCGACACTTGAATGGTTTAGCTCCGGTATGTTTACGGTAATGGCGGGTCAATTCATCACTGCGGGCAAATCGCCATTCACAGCCTTCCCACGAACACTTGTATGGTTTTTCGCCTAGAAATACAAAACAAAAATAGATATGGAAAGAAGTTAGTAAAAGTAAAAAAAAAATGGGAATACAAATTATTGAGGTCTTCTTCGGGATGTAGGATACTAATGTGATCGAGGAACTATATTGAAAACAAAAAATATATATCGGAGCCGAGTTCCGCCAAATGGAAACGTACGTCCCGAAATTCACTCCATTTGCGCTGATATTAGCCATCATTTTTCAAAAACAATTTGAATAATTTTTCGATGGACTAAATGTAGATTTTTTAAAATATTTTTCGAAGGACTATCGCAGCCGCTCAACGGCTATTTTTCCGATGGATTTTGAATGATTTTTCGAAGGCACTAAACTTGGATTTTTGAAAGTATTTTTCAAGGATTATTGGAGCCACTAAACGCGAATTTTGTAAATAATATTTTGCAAGGGCTATTGGGACGAATAAACGGAGAATTCTAAAATATTTTTTTAATGACTTTTCGAAGGACTAGATCTGGATTTTTCAAATATATTTTGAAGGACTATCGGAGCCACTGAACGTTGATTTTTAAAAATAATTTTCAAGGGACTATTCTTGCCGCTAAAGGTGGATTTTTAGAAAATATTTTTCAAAGGACTACTGTAGCCACTAAACGTGTATTTTTAAAAATAATTTTCAAGGGACTATTTGAGCTACTAAATGTGAATTTTTAAAAAAATATTTTCAAAGGACTATTGTTGCCGCTAAACGTGGATTTTTAAGAAATATTTTTAAAAGAACTACTGGAGCCACTAAATGTGGATTTTTAGAAAATAATTTTCAAGGACTATTTCAAAGGACTATTGTTGCCACTAAACGTGGACTTTTAGAAAATATTTTTCAAAACGACTACTGGAGGCACTAAAAGGGGATTTTTAAAAATAGTTTTCAAGGACTATTTCAAAGGACTATTGTTGCCACTAAACGTGGATTTTTAGAAAATATTTTTCAAAGGACTATTTGAGCCAATCACCTTGGATTTTTAAATATCTTTTCGAAAATGAATTTCAGAAATCGTTTTAAAGGACTTTTCGACGGACTTTTGGAGCCACTTGAAGTGGAAATCGATTGTAGATATATATGTGAGCTATATCGAAATTTGAACCGATCAAATTTGGCAGAAATATTTCAGAGCTGTATCTGATGCTCGGTATCAAATATCATTGTTGTAAAATGCATATTACACATATGAGGGACCATAACACCAAATCAATTTTTACTAAATTTGATGAACTTGCATTTGGTCCGAATTCAATCGGATGTTACGAAATCCATCCTATCTGGAGGCACATTACATTGGCGCAGAATACAATTATTTAATTTGAATTATCAAACAACATTCTGTAAAAATTTGTGCAACAGCGATGCAAGCATCTACCACTGTTCGGCAGTTGTATTCCTGGTATTTCTTAGTAAATACCTTAATCCCTGATGAAAGGCAATGGGAATACTTTTTGTGTACACCAATCTCCAAGCAAAGTTAATTCCTAAACAAGAAATGTCTATGCTGAGCTGTTACAGGCATCAGCAAACAGAACTACCTGCAATGCTTCTTGTTAAATGACGTTTTCTATTCTTGTTGTTGTTGATTTATAGTTTCGTTTTTCTTTGCGAAACAAGTAACAGACTTTTAATTTGTTTTATTAAATGTTTGCTGTGCGAAAACTTGTTCAATTTATGCAGATGTAAGTGGCATTTCTTCTGTGCAATTTAATGAAATTGAAATTTATTGCGTAGCTGGACTGGCCTGAACAGGAGCTGCAACAACAGAATGAGATTTGTTTGCCAACCTAATGGGAGCTGATGGGATGGGAAATGTGTTTGAGAGAGTTTTTTCAATTTTATTTTAAAGTCGACTTGAAGTCATAGTTCCAGACCGAATGTTATGATATTGTTTGCTTTTGTGTGTGTGTGCGTGAGCGTTTTGATGCTACTTTCGATAATGCAAATAATTTGTAAAGGACCATTAAAAATTATCCTTCCTTTGATTCATTTTTGAATTCCTCAACCACTTGTCCGTTAAATAGGGCTGTTGAGGGGGAAGGGTGGGTGGTTTGTGGGTTGTTGTGGTCTGTACTTGAGTTGTTCACCACCCTCCCCCAGGCTGGCTGAAACCCTTTTGCCCAGGGCCAAGCTGGGGAAATACAAGCACTTTAAGATATTTTGTAATTGGTTAAAGGGTAATTAAAAACTTTTTAATGGCCACCAGAAAGCGGAACAGCACAAGCATTTTAATTTCGCTCGTCGAAAAAAAAGCGAAAACACAAAAAGAACACAAAACAAAAGTATAAATTGATTTCATTTGCGACTTTGTCAAGCTGAACTAATAGAAGCAAAATTAAAAATTCCTTTTAATCTTTGTGCAAAATAGGCGACAAACGGCGGCAAACAATAAAACTTTGCATTCTCCCCAGGCCAAGTATCGTTGCTGTAATGCCTTACAAATGACAGCAGGGATTAAATATTTAAAAGAATGTCATTGCCAACGTTCCTGTCACTTCTGGGGGGCATTGGGACAGTTGCGGGAGGGGACACATTTTGAATATTAAATTTTTAAAGTTCTTCATGTATTGATCTCTTTAAGAAGAATACGAAATGTTCTTAAGGCGCCAACTAATGACTTTATGCATAGGAATAAATTCTTATGGGGGGTATTAACGAAGATTCAATACTTTTCTTCCTGCATCATAGTTCTCCTTTGATTTTTATGGAAAACCCAGCTAAACTTAAATCTGCAATTCTTCAATATTAAAACCCTGTTTTTCTGGCCAACATACATTTGCCAAACAAACTGCATTGCAAACATTTCTATAGAATATCCTAATGGCTACCGAACGATTTTATGCTTAGTTAAAAATTTACATGCTCTGCAACAAAAAAGCATACCTACACGCACAAACATGTTGGATATTGATAATTCTCAACTTTGTGTGCATCCGCTTTGCTTATTGATGGATAAAAAAATGCATCAAGTTTGAACATGAAAAATGATATGATGGCTAGATAAATTGCTGAATATTTCTCAAAGCAGGAAGCAAAGACAAATTCACAGGTCAACGCTATTGCTACTGCTCTACAACACCAACAAAAAAAACTTGAGCTATTATATTGTTGTTCTCTGTCGGTCGATGAGTTGAGAGCTCGTTAAGGATGTCAAAGGGAAACCTGTACAACACACACTTGTATGTGTGGAGATGCATCACAGTATTTGTGTGTGTGTGTGTAATCCACTACTGATGCATCATCATCATCATGTTGCTCTAACTGTTGAGGTTTTATCTACAACTTAAGCCATAAATTACCTTCGATCGGTTATTTACTACGTTCACATCCGCCTGAAAAGAAAATCCTCGTCGTCATCCTGGCAGTAGTCGTTTATTAAAAACGTCTGCATAGACATTTAATGTGTGGCAAACGAGCATGAATTAGTAGTTCCCATCTTGTATCTGTTTCCGAGCATGTCTATCGAGCTGTTCTATCGCAGCCATGGCGGTTGCAGAAACCAAAGGCCTTAATTGTGGTGTGAGTGTTGTTGCATTCTTTTTTCTTTTTTTTTTGAAGGAAGTCCTTGTTATTGTTGGCAGAGTTGTCGGGGCACAGTTTATTAGAGAGGGGAAGAGGCTACATTTCTAACAACAATAACAACAACAAACCATGATTATGTGGGTCGATTTTAGTTTGTCGCCATTTTTATGTGCGTGTCTGATTTTGACTTTCTCCTTAAACGAGGCACACACACATACACAAATTTATTACAGATAAGTACATACATATACATTCTTGTGTATGTACAAGTGTGTGTATATGTTGGTTCATTTCCGAATTTTGGCTTTTACTGAGATTTTTTTTTTTGTTCTTCCCTGATTCTATCGTCTACACTAGTTTACTCAATTCTGTTTTATATTTTCGGTTATTTTATGGGTTTAACCTCATTCCGGTTTCCTTCTCTTCAGCTATTTTATTTGCCAACGCCATTGCTTGGCAGACATATTCGAAACCTTTGAAAAAATCACCAAAATTGCAAAAGCCAAGAAAACGATAAAAAGAACAACAACAACTAAACCACTAAAAATTGACCTCGTTTCAATCAGGAAAGCAACATCAAACTGTTCGAATATAAACTATTGCGAAAACAACGGGAAATCCGACAAAGAATATCTGTATGTATGAATGTATGTGTATGCTGCTACGTGTCCGTGTTTCAAATGTTACCTTTTTTCGAGATTTTTGTTGCGGAGGAAATTCAGAAAATATATTGTGTGGTAATTAAAAGAGTCAAGAGATAACAAATTGCGACATTATAAAAAATTTCAGTGCCTGTGTATTACCGCCATATGCCTGGATGTGTTGAGGGTCCTTAAAGTGTCGCTTCAATTGCACCGATGTTTTATTAAGCACTGAGAGGAAACAGTAACAGTATGTTGTCAGGTTCATTTTTGATTCTAGGGACAAGGCGGTTTTTACAGGCCATTTTAAATATTTTTTTTTTCAATCAAAACATGTCGAACCCAGTACCTCTTTAATGGGAGTATATATTTTTTTTAATGCCAGTGGGTGATTCCTAGTATAGTTTTAAGTCAATTTCCGAACAAATGCCTTCTTCCTTCTGGCTTATTTCTATAGATGCAAATGGTCCTTGGAAAATGCTAGTTTCGTAGGCGGTACAAATTGCTGTCGCATCAAATAACCAATCAATTAATTTAATTAGCATTTTTGGTTAAACGACAGATATCAGCTAAGATCCCATTTAAAATTCACTTAACAAACAGCCTGAAGACACCATAAACAATGGTATTAGGGCTCGGTGTTGGAGTGTAATTTAATATTTAACAAACAATAACCTATTAACATAATTCAAGGATATAAATAACAAGGACAATGGGAAAGGTTGTGGTCCAATAACTCGTAGTTAATCAAGCGAAGCAAACAAACCAACAAATACTGCCACAAATACAGGGCGGCATAGGAAAACTTTTGACAATTAAAAGGCTTTGAACAATTTAACACCTTTCCGTTCAACGTCATCCATTAAAGCGCCTTTGACAGGATTTGTCCGACCGTCACGTCATAACAACAACTGGGAGGGGCAACTTCTAATATTAGGATAGGTTGTGGTTTTGATTTGCCGGTACATACTTTATGCAAACAAATTTGGTTTAGAATGTACCTTTAGTGGCTTTGGATAAATAAATTTTCGATATTAATTGATGGTTGCGACCATAGGGCTTTATACTGAGGAAAATATGGATAATGACTTTTTGAACGGAAAATATATATATCGAAAACAACGATGGGAAATCAGAGACCTGTAAGCTACATTCCGTACGCAATAAGGAGTAACTCTTTTTTGATAGCCAGGTGATAATTTATGGCAGTCAATTATTCAATTCCATAACAGTTGCCCATTTCATTCATATAACCATAAAAGCCTCAGCTTTCAGTTTCTAAATGTAAACACAAATAAGAACATTTCAACCTGGATATGTAGTTTTTCTGGTAGCTAATACACATGGAGACGGTTAACCAGGTAACCACCAGGCAGCTGCTATTCACTCTCGTACTAATATGTTGATAGTGTTGTAATGTGACAAAAAGTTAATCCTCTCTCTCTCTCGGGGAATATATTTTTAGAAAAAAATTACAAAAGCTTTAAATCCAATGAAAGCCACACAAAAAGACGGCGTCAAAAATTTGTCATTCCTGTTTCTCCTAATTTATGCTATACGCGCTGCACTGCCCTGCCTAGAGACAGCTTATCTCATAGCGAAAATCTTGCAACGCGACCTTTAGCAATAGGCAAAATAACAGTCAGACCAACCGACAGACAGTAGAGTAGAAAAAGAGATTTACTAAAGTGAACATTGTCTCGAGACAACCAAAAACAAATGTGTTTGACGTTGTAGAAGATTTTCGCTGTGTTTGTATGTGTGTGAGCACTCGCCTTTAAAGCACTGGCAAAGGCACACAGATTTGCCAGAAGAATAGGGAGTAAAGAATATCCCCAAATTATAATAAATGTGTCTTAAATCTGAGTGACATTTGCGTGATTTGGCGAATTTACGTTTCCGCTGCTATTCTTAGACCAGATCTCACACACACACACACACAGACTCTATTACATTCCAACAATCATTTCTCTCATGCTCTTCCATTTGCTTGCTATGTGAATGAAGAGATTAGGTTTGAGGCAGAAACTTCATTCCACAAATTTCGCCAGAAGCCTTTTCTCTGTCACATATTGCAACAAACACAGACCGGAACAAGGGGGGGCTGCTGTCAAAATACTCGCCGAAAAGAGAAAGGAATAACGAGAAAAATAAAAACTTACATTTTATGTAAAAGAGAATATTCTTGCAATTTTTTCAAATGAATTTATGGCCAGAGGGCCATTTGCCAGATTCTGTTTTAGGCGGAAGGGGAAAACACAAAATAGGCCGCAGCTTTTTTGCTTCCTGACGTATCGCGCAGCAGTACCAACTTGTTTCTTTTATGTGGATTTGAGTTTGTGTGAATGCGTAAATCAGACAAGTATTGAAATGCGAAAAGGAAACGAAACGGAATCGTTTGTATTTTTGTCACAAAAATTATGAAAAATATTGTTATCTCTGGAGGATTCGCTGGGGAGAGAAATGAGACACAATTAGGAAATGGTTTTACAAAGCCACAGGCACGTTAACAGGAAACCCAAGAGAGACAGTCCCAATGTGAAATACCTCCATTCAAATTATTATAGCGGTGTGATCGGAACTGTGGAAATTCAAAATTCGAATAAAACTGATCAGCGCTGTAATCTTATGGGTAATGAAAAACACATGTTGTTGCCTGTAAATGTTAAAAGAGAGAGTTCTCATCAAACGTGGCGGTATAAATGAGAGTAGAAAATACGTCTATCGAATTCAACAGAACCATAGACTAATGCAAATGGAGATGAAGAAATGCTCTCACAGTATTTCTCTGAAAAAAAAAGTCGGATCACCAAATTTTGTCTATATCGTTTCAGGGGTATGAGTGAAAATATTGAAGTCACTCAATTCTTAATTGTTAAAAATATCATGAACTCTAGGATGCTTGTCCGATGCAAATCGTTCCATAATAAAAGAAAAGTGAAAATTCCGGAATTCTTGAAAAATGATTAAATGTTTTTTTCGAAGTCGAGGGGGTCGACAGCGTTAACCAGCATGCTGACTATCGAAAAAAAGGCTGAGAGCCTCCTGGATCAAAATACAAGACTAACTTTTCGTTGTCTATATACACAACCGTTAGTCTATGACACAACCTTCCTAAAGACGTAAGTTTAACAGACATGTGTATGAATCCATTCAGTTATGTCATTAATTATCGCGCCCCTCTATCCAGTCTGTTAAATAAAACCATTCATTTTTCCACAATAAATATTTTCCATATATAAATTATTATAATTGTGTGCTTGTGTGTGTGTGGAAACACTCTACAATACGCGTGTGTTTGAGTGGTTGGTTCTTTATCGACATTGTTTTAGAAGGCCTAAATCGAATAATTGTTGAATGACAAGTGGCGGGGGTGGGAGGACAAGTTCTACAAATAAAACAAATACATTGCTGGCTGCCAGCAGCACACTTACCGGTATGGGTCCTTTGGTGAGCCTTTAAGTGCGAACTTTTTGTGTAGACTTTCTTGCAACCCAAAAACTGACACTTGTGTATCCGGCGTTTGGCGTCAGGACTGTGCTCATGTTGTAATAGGATTTGCTGTTGTTGTTGTTGCTGCTGCTGTTGTTGTTCCGGTTGATGATGCTGTTGTGGTTGCTGCTGATGTGAGGCTGTTTGTTGCTGTTGTTGGAGGTGATTTTGCTGTTGCTGACGTTGATGAGGTTTTGTGGTCACTGTAATCAGAACAAAAGCAGAAAAATAAAAATAAATTAACTTGTGCGATTGATAAGGACGACGAACAGTCAACGGGTTGACGGGTGAGTCAACACACACAGATACACACACACTCTGTGAGTAATCAACTAAGTTGTGAGTCAACCAATATTCTCCTCTCTCTTATTGTCATTCATTCAACTTACATGCGGTCACTTGAGGATTCTGCAATTGGGTGCCCCTCTGGGTAATCTGTGCTGCCGTCAAGCCATTAACGTTCCCCACGGCCGATACATTGCCATTGGATGCTGCTGCAGCAGCTGCGGCTGCCGCCGCTTGGGCTGTGTTGAGGAGGGCAGCAGTGGCCGCCGACAGTGTCCCACTGTTGCCAGCCTGCATTTGGATGACCCGGGCCAGGCTGATGCCACCGCTCTTTTGTCCGTTACTCGTTGTCAGGCGGACAATGGTGCTGCGTGGAATGTTGCTGGTGTTCGGAGTGGCTGTGTTGCTGCTGTTGGTGGCCAGCTGGGTACTGACTGCTTGCGTATCGGTATTGGCAGCGCTACTCGATGTCTGCATGGCCAAATGGTGGTGGGCGGCGGCAGTTGACTGCTGCGGCGTAGAGTTGGAGTTCGTTTGAGGTTGTTGCTTCTGTTTCTGTTGTTGCTGCTGCTGCTGTTGGTGTTGTTGTTGTACGTTGTGTGACTGCTGTTGCGGCTGCTGTTGTAGCAAAGGAACTGTAGTGCTTGCAGTGGGATTCGAAGGAAAACGTAAGATGGCAGTTGTAGGTGGCACATGGGTTTGTTGTTGTTGCGATGACTGCTGCTGGCGCTGCTGCTTCTGTTGCTGTTGTATGAGAGCGGCTAGCTCACTGGCGTCAATTTGAGCAGTTTGGCAGCTGGTTGATGAAATATTCGTGCGTATCGATTCCGGAGATGAGGGCGGTGTCAGGGTGGGTAGGGCGTAATCGTGATTGTTGTGATGACTGGCACTTTGAGGACTTAGATTGCCGCCGTGTTTGGTCGCCAACACCCGGAGTTTGATAGCCTTTTCCGTTAGCGGGCACTGCTGTGTTACAGCGGTGGTAGTGGTGGTGGTGAGAGTGGAGCTCGTACTACTCACCATTTGACTCGTGCTCAAAGCTTGCAACGCAGATTGTGTCAATTCAGTGGATGGCGGTAGCCGGCCCAACATCATCTTGTTGTCTTCGCCATTGTCGGAATTCAAAGCCTCATCTTCGTCATCATCATCGATGCGTTCTTTCTTAACCACCACCGAGCAACTCAGCGACTGCGAGCCCGCACTGTCCCACGAAATGCCCGAACAGTGCGACGACACCGAGGATGTGGTTGAGATGGAGTCCAAATGCTGTTCCTTTATCTTGAGCTCCTCCAGGATGCGAGCAGGTGCCGAGAATATTTCCCATGAATCAATCTCGCTGTGTAATTTGTTGTATGACTGCAGTTTGGGTTCATCACGCAGATAACGGCCCAGTTCATAGCAAGTCTAAAAGAGAAAAGGCAAAGAACCGTTAGCGGAATGCGGTGAAATGAGCTTTAGTATTTCATAAATTTAAATGGCTGTCACTTTTATGGTCTTTTTAATTTCATTTATGGCTCATGAAGTTATCTGCCTGTGGCCAACATAATTAACAAGAAATTATGGCTACGGGAGTTGGCCATTTGGCCTTGTTTTATTTATGTCTCTTTGCGAAATGTAGAGCTCCTTCTTCTCTCCCCCTTCCCCCAAAAGTATATCTAATTCAATTTCAATTTGTACGCCACGTTGGCTACACTCCCCCAAACTGTCATAAATAATCCCCTTGCACCTACTGCCACCCCCATCCCCCATTTGCAATAACTTTTAAGTAAATTGTATAATTTCTATGCTCCAGCAGAAGTTGTGGAGAGAAATACATTCACTTCGTGATTTGTATTAAAACAGCTCTCATTGAAGTTTACGATTTTGTTTTGGTTTAAATTTATTGTTTTGAAGTTGTTGTTGCTGTTGGCAAGTGAAGGTGAGCAGCATCAGTTGCGTTCGCTGGCCAGTCTCCGTCCGGTTTGTTCCAGGGCGCTGTGGCATGGCTGTCTGCACATCCATCCAGCTGTCCATCTCGTGTTTGGCGTGATATTAATGTGCCAACGTGCAAAATCATAAATTCAAAATAGTGATATTTTATGAATGCAATTAATTTGAGTTATTTATGCAGAAAATTATTTTGCTTCCCCAGTAAGTTCGAAAGAATATACATTCGTATTTGAGTTTGTAAAGAAGGCAAATTTTGAGATTTTTAACAGGTGTGTGAGATGAAAAGTTAAATTAGCCATTGTCAAAACTTTTCCATTTATTCGGCGATGAATTTCTTTCAGTGCACGCGATTAAGGCGACAATACCAATCATGGGTTCAGTTGACATCGTATCATGTTGACGTTTACGTCATAAAGCCCAAAAACAGGAATTTCGTGTGTCCTGTTTACATTTGGTGCATTGCCACTGCCATTGCCATGGTTCAGCTTGTTTGTGTAACAGCCTTCTCGATGGTATTATCATGTAAACCTCAAACAAACACGCATGCATACCCATACACACAGGCAAACACACACACACACTACTGCGTGGTGCTTATGCAGACGTGAATAATGAGACAAATGACTCCATATCCCACTTCCACACGGCTGGTGTTGTTTGTGCTCAGCTAACAACCAGGCGGTGGGATGTGAGATTTGGGAAAAATTATTGGATTTTGCAGACCCAGAACAAACACTCACACACACGCAAACGTGTGACAAGTGTTAGGCCTCCATGCCAAGTGCACAATGCACAACGGGTGCATACTAAATTAGCACTCTCAACGAAAAGTTGTTTACAAAACGTTTGCCACGAGACGATCAGGTCGCGTCAGTAATTTTAAATAGAAACTGTACTTAAGGCGTAACTAAAATGGCAATTAAAAATGAGACGAAAAATGTTGAGGGATAACATTTCAATGGAATCTTGTCATGAATCAACCCGGCTCAAGGAAGGAATTCTTCGCCTGCACAAAAGAAAGTACCTTTACCAAACCAAATCAAATATGAGCATTCATCAACTCTAAAGTTGATGACGAGTGCAAAAAATCAAAATTTATGTATATTTTTTGTTTTAATAACAATTGCAGTTATTTAGAAAATAGTTCTTCCTTAAATTATCGTTTTGCGATTTTGCTCACCTCTGATTTAAATGTTGTACAAACAAAAGCGCCAGGAATGCCCAACTCTTTTAAACTCTTTACAAAGTCAAGATTAAAAAGCAAAAAAGAAAAAACATTTTAATTGTTTTACAAATTATATAATTGAATTCGATTTTTTTCTCAGTATTTTTTTTCGATAATTGTGATAAATTATGACAAATGTGATATTAAAATCTTAAATGATTTTTTCTCTATCTGATGCTCAGCTGTATAATAGGTATTTTAAAATTTATTGCACTCAGACCAATACTAGTTACAAATCGTGCCTTCCCATTGGGATTTTCTCTCTTGTGGAACATGCCGAAACGTGAGGTTGGGAAGTACTTCTGCTTTCTTTCCATTATCCCTCAATAAACATCGGAATTACTTTATTCGAAACAAAACATTTAAGAAATTGGCGGAAATTTAAGTGATTTTGTGAAATTTCCTACACCTAATGTACAATTTTGTGTTGTTGTATTTTTTGTCGTTGTTGTTGTGTGCAACACCACCACTCAGCAACTTGCCGCCACATTGAAACATATTTAATATAAAGCAAAACAAATATTTACTTTTGGTCTGATGGATGGACGGACAGACAGACGGGTGGACGGTTGGTTGGTTGGAAAAGCGATACATTGCCATGGTGTGTTGGTTTGGGGGGAAAAGCCTTTCTGTGGAGAGTGTGCTAGTCATTGAATGTGTCCGTGTGAGTGTGTAGTTGTTGTGTGTGTGAGTGTTTTTATAAATATGAAGTATGTCTGGCAATGTTTACTTTTGTGTTTAATAACAATTTAAATTTTAATCGTTTTCCATTTTAAATTAATTGCTTTTAAGCTCTTATCTCACGTAGCGAGAGAAAGAGAGAGAGCGAGCGAACAATTACCCCGGCGGCTTTGGCAAGAATCATTTATAGAGAAAGAAAGGAAAAATTATTGCATATTCTAAGGGGCAATGAATGGCCAGCCAAATGATTTATGATATTGAGAATAACAACAAAAACACTACTAAATATGATTGTATAACTAAATGGAAAATAAATACACCCATACCTCTACACACACACGCTCACATGCTTTGTTTGACAACGACCATAAACCGCACTCAATATATGTGCCTGTGTGTGTGTAGATGTGTAGGCTGATTTGGGGGCAACTAACTGTCAGTGGCATAATAAGTTTATGAACTTCACAGACAATAATACATTGTTAGCACTTTGCAAGAGGCCCCCACCCATTCGCCCTCCAACTTAAGAACCCAATAGATAAGATGATGATTGGTTGCTTTGATTCCATCTCTTGTTCTTTGTTTCTTTCGAACAATCCGACATACACAAGTGTAAATCTTCCCAATATGCGTCTGTAGAAGGATTCGCAGGAATGGTTATTTAAATGTGCGAGCGTGTGCGTAAACAATATATTGTGTATTTTTGCGTGTATGTATTCGAATGAATGTTTTTAAAACACTTTTATGGTTTTGAATTTCATTTCAGTTGAGGTTTCTGGTCTCTCCCACTCCGCCTCCGCTCCAACACGCTTCCTCTGTAGTTTTGTTCCTTGGCATCGCCGCAAATATACCAGCAGCAATAAATTATTTTGATAACTGTGAAAATAATTGGCTTTAAATCCTAACTGTATTCCATTCCATGCAATTTTTATCCTTTGCAGACGGAATATGAGTTAGATTGTATGGCTGACTGTGAGCAGAGACAGAGGAGGGCCACAAAGCAATGACCACACTTGTGATAAAAAAAAACAGGAACAAGTGTTTGAGTATGTGATGGAAATAAGATATAAAAACATAATCGCTTTCTCCTCTGCTTCCCCACGCCCGCCCTTGGCCTTCCAAGCCATACAGGAGCAGGATAAAAACGTATGCTGTCTTAAAAAGGATTTATGTAGTGATTTATGATTTGATATTTTGATTTACATTTTCCATTAAAGGAAATAAAATTATTATTTCTCTGAATGGGGTTCTCCTTGGCAGGAGTGAGGTGACGTTCGAAAATAAGCATTTCTTCTGGACACAACGTTATTGCCATAAATGACTTTTGAGGACCGCTTTCTGATTGTAAGCATATAGAAATATTGAATTGTAATGTCTGCACAAAATGAAATGAAAAGAAAAAAGAACAGCCAAAGAAAAAGGAACGCATAAATTAAATTTGCCATTGTGCTTTCGACGAACAGTGGAACGAAAATGTCAATGGGAATTGGCTTTGTTTTCATGTTCGGATAACAAACCAACAATGGTTCCATAGAATGGAATGGTTCCTAGAAATGCAAAATACTTGACATGGATTCCGTTCCGTCATTGGATAGTTGGACATGATTGTTTAACTTTTCAAAGAAGCTTTTTTTTGGAAAAATTTACCACGGAGCCATGTTACAGTTGTTCAGATATTTCCTGGGCATGTAGGTGGATGTAAAAATAATTATGTTTCTCTTTGTGCGTGTGTGTTTGTGTGGCAAGCGATCAAAATAAAATCATTTGAATTTAACGGTAAATCATTTAAATGGTCTTTCAAAAAATAATAATTGTTTAACATAAATTTTGCACCAACACTCGCTCTGCTATCCTCGGAGCTATTTGCAGAGTTTTTATTTGTGTTTGTTCATGGTGTGCTATGGGGTATGCATGTGTGTATGCACCACCTCTCACATGTATCCAATGTATGACTTTAGCACATGTAGAGAGGGGGGGGGGGGGGGGAGAGTAGGTTTACTTCTTTGCCGTTGTCATGAAATGAATATGTTGTTTATGTCTGCGTGTGTGTGTGTGAGAGAGACGCAGAGAGAGGGAGCTCGTAAAAAACTCTAGACAAAATATGGAGTTGGACGTGATGCATCAGCAGAACCATTTCATTTTGGCGTATGATTAATGGTCGCCAGTACACATTTTGTTTCGCCAAAGCACCATTCGTCCTGCGGACGCTGTATCATTATATCAGCGAAATCTACACAATCTACCAAGACGTCCAGAATTTGGCGAACGTAAACAATAATAAATGGTTGGTGACTATGTGTAACAGAATACAGTTGTTGATTAGCCACAAGCGAAAAGATTACTTTTTCCTGTGAAAGACAATAGCTGGGCGAGATATTAAACTTTAGACTCGGGTTTTTTGTCTTGTTGGTATTTTAGATAGTTTGGAGTTTGGTGGAGGGGTATCCATACACCATTCCTCTGAGTGAGTGCTTCCTTAGCTATAGCATTAAATTTTTAAAATCATTTTCTTAAATAACATCATAAATTTAATTTAAAAATTATTATTATATTATTTTAGAAGGAATAT